AGCTGAGGGCAGGATAGGCTTCCCTGAATAGATAGGTTTTCAGAGAGCGCCTAAAAGTGAGCAGAGTAGGCGATAGTCTGATAAATTGGGGTAGAGAGTTCCAGAGGATGGGGAAAGCTCTGGAGAAGTCCTGTAGATGAGCATGGGAGGAGGAGACAAAGGAGCTAGAGAGTAGGAGGTCGTGCGAGGATTGGAGAGTATGGTTTGGGTGGTATTTGGAGACAAGATTGGTGATGTAATTTGGGGTCGAATTATAAATGCCTTTATATGTTTTTGTTAATGTTTTGAATTTTATCCATTGGGCAATGGGAAGCCAGTGGAGGGATTGGCAGAGAGTGGTGGCAGATACAGAACGGTTAGTAAGGTGGATGAGTCTGGCAGCAGTATTCATGATAGACTGAAGAGGGGATAGCCTGCGATGAGGTCGGCCAATGAGGAGGGAGTTACAATAGTCAAGGTGAGAGTTAAACAGGGAATGAATAAGTTGCTTAGTGGTTTCTGAGGTTAGGAACGGCCGTATCTTGGAGATGTTGCGGAGGTGAAGTCTAAAAGATTTGGACAGCGATTGGATTTGGGACATTTGGGACAATTAGAAACATACCTTGAAAGTAGGGATGAGGTTTGGGTTTGCAGCAAATCTACCGGTTCCAAAGATTGGCTAAAACAGTACAGGTTTGCTGCATAACCTTTAAATTGGATTGCATATTAGCTTTACAAATGGTCAGAATTAAATAACAGGATCCACCCCTCCCCTTCCCCTTGGATTTCATTGGGGTTTGCTGCAAAGCAAGATTCATGACACTTTTCACAAACCGAACCAGGCAGATTTGCTCATCCTTACCTGACAATTAAACCTTGGGATGCATATAAGAAGCAAGGAGTTCCTGCTTAGTACTTGCTTTTCACCTGTTTGCCAATCTAATCTAACTTGCATTGCTTAAAAAAATGTATACAGAGCTCAATAACTTAAGCTCAAATTTAAACAATGAACTAAATTATTCAGTGTGATGACTTTCTTTCATCATCCTTGTTTTTTCTATTCATACAGCTCCACAGAAGAATTAGAAAGAGAGAATTAGAAATTCCAATAGAAGTCTAATAGAAAGCATCTTCTACTCCGATATCTAATTAGAAAGCCCACATTTTTTATACAAAGTAGCTATTAAAGAAGAAAAAAACATGATTTTAAATACAAATGTTAACAAATGTAAAATAAGTCTTTATACACCTACAAGGCCACTTGCCAATATTTACAAAAAGCATAAAACTCAAGGCACAATTGGTTATAGACCGGGCTTTTTTTAGCAGGAACATCAGGAATGAATGCACCTCCAGCACTGAATGTATGTAATAGCAAGGGATGCTGGGGTGTGCTGGAGGGTGTATTAATGCTGGCTACTGGGGATCTATTGCATGGCGGTCTATTGTTGCTGATGAGATCTATTGTTGCTAGTGGGGGATCCATTGTTTCTGGAAGGGCCCTACAGTTGAGGGAGGGGTCTGTTGTTGCTGGCTGCTGGAGAGTCTGTTGTTGCTGTCTGTTGGGAGATCTGTTGTTGCAGCTGGGGTCTATTTTTGCTGGGGTGCTTTTTGTTTCCAGGGTCCATTGTTGCTGGGGGGATCTATTGTTACTGGGTGGTCTTTTGCAGCTGGCTGAGGGGGGTATAATTTATTGCTTTTCTTATTATAATTACAAATTCCATACAAATTACTTAGCACCACAAAATAATACTTAGCTGTGTATTCTCTATAAGGAGTGGTACTGGGAGGTGGGTAGGGGTGGATCCAAGGGAGTGTTCAGAGATGGGTAGGAAGGGGGTAGGAAAGGGAATAAAAGAATTGTATAAGGAGGGGGGAGTTCCTGAGCCTATTTCCTGAGAAAACAAAACCTGGTTATACACTGCTCAAAATAATTAAAGGGACACTTTTTAATCAGAGTATAGCATCAAGTCAGTTAAACTCCCGGGATATTGATCTGGTCAGTTAAGTAGCAGAGGGGGTTGTTATTCAGTTTCAGCTGCTTTGGTGTTAATGAAATTAACAACAGGTGCACTAGATGGCCAACAATGAGATGACCCCCAACACAACAATGGTTTTACAGGTGGAGGCCACTGACATTTTTTTTCCCTACTCTTTTCTGACTGTTTTTCACTAGTTTTGCATTTGGCTAGGGTCAGTGTCACTACTGGTAGCATGAGGCCATACCTGGACCCTACAGAGGTAGCACAGACAGTCCAACTCCTCCAGGATGGCACAAAAATACGTGCCATTGCCAGAAGGTTTGATGTGTCTCCCAGCACTTTTTTTCACTTTGATTTTCGGGGGTGTCTTTGATTTCAGTCCTCTGTAGTTTGATCATTTTCATTTCCATCAAACGATGGGGCATCCTTACGTTCCTAACACATTACCCCCGTCCATATCAATATACAGTCAGGTCCATAAATATTGGGACATGGATACAATTCTAACATTTTTGGCTCTATACACCACCACAATGGATTTGAAATGAAACAAACAAGATGTGCTTTAACTGTAGACTGTCAGCTTTAATCTGAGGATATTTACATCCAAATCAGGTGAACGGTGTAGGAATTACAACAGTTTGCATATGTGCCTCCCACTTGTTAAGGGACCAAAAGTAATGGGGACAATTGGCTTCTCAGCTGTTCCATGGGCAGGTGTGTGTTATTCCCTCATTATCCCAATTACAATGAGCAGATAAAAGGTCCAGAGTTCATTTCAAGTGTGCTATTTGCATTTGGAATCTGTTGCTGTCAACTCTCAAGATGAGATCCAAAGAGCTGTCACTATTAGTGAAGCAAGCATCATCATTAGGCTGAAAACACAAAACAAACCCATCAGAGAGATAGCAAAAATATTAGGAGTGGCCAAAACAACTGTTTGGAACATTCTTAAAAAGAAGGAACGCACCGGTGAGCTCAGCAACACCAAAAGACCTGGAAGACCACGGAAAACAACTGTGGTGGATGACCAAAGAATTCTTTCCCTGGTGAAGACAACACCCTTCACAACAGTTGGCCAGATCAAGAACACCCTCCAGGAGGTAGGTGTATGTGTGTCAAAGTCAACAATCAAGGGAAGACTTCACCAGAGTGAATACAGAGGGTTCACCACAAGATGGAAACCATTGGTGAACCTCAAAAACAGGAAGGCCAGATTAGAGTTTGCCAAACGACATCTAAAAAAGCCTTCACAGTTCTGGAACAACATCCTATGGACAGATGAGACCAAGATCAACTTGTACCAGAGTGATGGGAAGAGAAGAGTATGGAGAAGGAAAGGAACTGCTCATGATCCTAAGCATACCCACCTCATCAGTGAAGCATGGTGGTGGTAGTGTCATGGCGTGGGCATGTATGGCTGCCAATGAAACTGCTTCTCTTGTATTTATTGATGATGTGACTGCTGACAAAAGCAGCAGGATGAATTCTGAAGTGTTTCGGGCAATATTATCTGCTCATATTCAGCCAACTCATTGGACGCCGCTTCACAGTGCAGATGGACAATGACCCAAAGCATACCGCAAAAGCAACCAAAGAGTTTTTGAAGGGAAAGAAGTGGAATGTTATGCAATGGCCAAGTCAATCACCTGACCTGAATCCAATTGAGCATGCATTTCACTTGCTGAAGACAAAACTGAAGGGAAAATGCCCCAAGAACAAGCAGGAACTGAAGACAGTTGCAGTAGAGGCCTGGCAGAGCATCACCAGGGATGAAACCCTGCGTCTGGTGATGTCTATGCGTTCCAGACTTCAGGCTGTAATTGACTGCAAAGGATTTGCAACCAAGTATTAAAAAGTGAAAGTTTTGATTTATGATTATTATTCTGTCCCATTACTTTTGGTCCCTAAACAAGTGGGAGGTACATATGCAAACTGTTATAATTCCTACACTGTTCACCTGATTTGGATGTAAATACCCTCAAATTAAAACTGACAGTCTGCAGTTAAAGCACATCTTGTTCGTTTCATTTCAAATCCATTGTGGTGGTATATAGAGCCAAAAATGTTAGAATTGTGTCCATGTCCCAATATTTATGGACCTGACTGTAGATATCCAGCATGATCTTTTTCCCCATTGAGATCTGATGTGTTTTCAAAGTGTTCCTTTCATTTTTTTTGAGCAGTGTAAATAACAGCATATTATAGCCTTTGTGAGCAGAGCATGGTCAGTTAATGTTGTACTATATGATCTACAACCATTTATACATATTCATATATTTCATTTATTTAAGATATGTTAACTAGTATGAGCAGTTAAAGCAGTATTAAACCCAAAAACAAAAAAATATTATATTGCAGCTTACCAGTCTTTAGATGTGATGGCTGAATTAGCTTATTTTTTTTGTCTTTTTTCCCTTTATTTTCACTGGTGAGCCAGCCAGTAAGTCTGTTTTACTTTTCAACAGTCGCAGCTGTCCAGCAAATGGTAGATAGAGGATGGGACAAACCTTTTAATGCTGACAAAGGGTGCTTACAAGGGTCAACTTTTAATCATTCAAAACCTTTTTCTCAAAAGGAAAGAAAGGCTGTTGCTGTAACTACGTATAAAGTGTTAATTGGAGTTCACCTTTTTTTTTGTCAAATTCATCTAAATCTGCTAGTGCATCTAACATTACCCTCCTCCTAAGCTGAAAATGCTGCTGTCCAAAGGTGTCTCCATTGCTCCTTCATCCAGAGTGGAGACATTTTAAGACGTGAAGGGTTTGATTTACTAAAACTGAAGGAGTGCAACATCTGGTGTAGCTGTGCATGGCAGCCCATCAGCGGCTAACTTCAGCTTGTTCAATTAAGCTTTGACAGAAAAACCTGGAAGGTGATTGGTTTCTATGCAGAGCTGCACCAAATTTTGTACTCTCCAGTAGTAGTAAATAAAACTTGAAGTGTGTTACTGCCTGTCAGAAGCACAGCGGGGTTTTGAAGAACAGTGCTCACTCCTGTACTACCAGGGGCGGACTGACCATTTGGAAACTCAGGCACTGCTCGAAGGCCCGGGGTCAGTAGGGGGCCCCATGAGATGCCCCTGGTACCTTTTTCCAAGGCTTTTTTGAGTTTGGGCAAGGACACAGGGGCCCCATGATCCCCTATTGCCCGGGGGCCCCATGAGTTGTCAGTCCACCCCTGTGTACTACTAGATGAAACACGTCCTACCAGATGGTTTATCCCAGAAAAAAGGAAAGGATGGAGATGTACAAAATATCACATATTTGGGGCAGGCTTCACTCTGTGCACAAATGGCCTACAGGGATGGGAGAAGCATAAATGGATATTTTTTTAAATTGGATTAATTTAAAACTGGAATAGCATTCATGGGCTTTTTTTTAAAAAGTGGATTATCCCTTTAACTGCATCCATTACACTCAGGTTTTCTAGTTTCTATCATAGGACAGAAGAAACAGTTATCAACAAATATATCTTGTCAGAGAAATCATTCAAAGAATAGAATCCCCTACAAATTATTTATAAAGTTTAGATGCTAGAAAAATTGAGTTGGGCTTTAAGAGCGAGTGACTATCCAGTTTGCTCATCTGGGACGGTTGACTTGTTGTTTTAAATAGATCCCCAACAGCTAGTCCCATTCACACCAGAATTGAGATATATAATACAAGGATGAAAGTATGGGAATGGGAAATTCCCAAGGACAACAACAGGGATGTCATCTATAAGAGCAGAGACTCTTGGGAAATAATCTAAAATAACTATCTGTACTGAACATTTCATTGTCAAGTTGCTTTGGAACTGTTCCTGTCCCAAGGGAAGGCTCTAGTCTTAGGAAAATAGCACTTGCCAGACTATTTGTCATCAATAAAAAAAATCCTGTTTTTTTCATTGCCAAGCTCATGGCAACAAACATTCTACTTTCCTTTGTATCAATTTCTGCAGATAACAAGCAATCAACTATACCTTTTGTCTTTAAAGGATACCTGCCATTAGAGCAATAAGTAGACTTCTTTTGAAAACCTTGTTGCCTGGCTCTCATGCTAATTCATTGGCTTGGATCCAGAATTCAGAACAAACATTCTGACCTCAGTTGAAGGGATGAGTGGAATATAGAGCTTTTTTTTTGTTTCTGAAATTTTGCTAAAAAGCATTGTAGTCAATGGGGAAATTAAGGTGGTTTTAGAGGTTTTTAAAGTTGCAATTGGCTTTAAATAGCTACTGAGGGTTACGAAAAATCCTTTAAACTCTCGTGGACCTGTTCTTGTGCCAAAAATCAGTTCCTTGTTAGCCTTTTTTTATGTTTGAAAAAAATGGGAAATAGAGTGTTTAAGGCAACAGAACACTAATAATGATCAAATAAATATACAAAAAAGGGGAAAAATGCAAACATTAACTTAAATAAACAAAACTACCATAAATACAGAAAACATATATAAAAAAGAACATACCCTCTAAATAAAGAAAAAACAAGTTTTTTCAAGCAAATTTCACTTGACAAAATCAGGGGTCAAATATAGAATTTTTTTTTTTCAAACAAATTTCACTTAAAAAGATCATGGGGCTGTATAAAAAGATATGCTACTGATATAAAAAAAATGACCCTGCTCTGGCTTCTCTACCTCAGGTGCTAGCTCCTTATAGCTCCAAACACAAATCCTTGGAAAATAGATGCTGTACTCCAAGTTTGGGTCTCATAGTCAACTTTATTAGGCACATCCCATCCAATACAAGCTCCTCTTTCAGATGTGCTTAAGTCTGAAGAGCTGAATTCGTAACGAGCTCAAGAAGCAAAGCAATTTTTGCTTCAGAGAAATTTCATCGAAAGACCACCTTCTGCCGAACAAACATGCTGGAAAACCAGCGAACAAATTTCCCTTTAGTTCAAATGGCACCATCCCAGGTCAGAAACCTCAAACTTGAATTAGACAAACTCCTGTGCTCCCTAGAAAAACCCATAGTGCTCCGGAAAGCCATAAAGTTAGCCCACCACCAGTGTGTTGGAAGGGGAAATCCCCCAGCTGGAACATTATATTCTCACAATGAGTCTCGCCTCTGACACAACATACTGAATATCTTTGGAGTGACTTCTGTTGAGCATATATATATATATATATATATATATATATATATATATATATATATACAACACACACACACACACACACACACACACATATATATATATTGGATATAAAAAGATTTCTGTGATGTAAAAAAGTTAGACAACAATAAGTCATTTCAGAACGTTTTCCACCTTTAACCACTTGCCCTCCAGAGGATTTACCCCCCTTCCTGACCAGGCCAGTTTTTGTGTTACGGCGCTGATTTACTTTAACTGACAATTGCGTGATCATGCAACTCTGTACCCTAATGAAATTTACATCCTTTTTTTCCTACAAATGGAGATTTATTTGGTGGTATTTAATCTCCTGTGTGGTTTTTATTTTTTGTGCTATAAAAAAAAACGACAATTTTGAGAAAAAAAACAATATTTTTGACTTTTTGCTATTAAACATGTCCAATAAAAAATTTTGAAAATTCTAATTTCGTCATAAATTTAAGCCAAAATGCATTCTGCTACATGTCTTTGCTTATAAAAAAATCCCAAAACGTGTAAATTAATTGGTTTACGTGAAAGTTATAGCATTTACAAATGGCAGTGTAGATACTGGAATTTTTTTTCTTACTAGTAATGACAACGATCAGCTACTTATAGCGGGACTGTGGCGGGCATTCTGACACTGGGGAGAACTGACTTGGTGTCACTGGGGAAAAAGCACTGACACTGTACTAATGGCACTGGGCAGGAAGGTGTTAACATGAGGGGCAATCAAAGGGCTAACTGTGTGCTGGGTGTGCTTTAATATTGGGCCTGTGTTTGTGCTTCACTGTAGTCACACTGTGTGCATGGCTGTGCTGTACACAGCCATCCAAAGCAGTATGCACAAGCTGACGGGGAGAAGAACTGTTTTGTTTACAAACAGTTCTCCTCCCTGTCAGAGATGCAATCACAGGGCGCCGGCGAGTAATCACTGGCCGGGACCCAGTGACTGACAGCCGTGGCCACGAATGGCGGTGCAGGTAGGGCGTGCGTGCCTCGCGTGTGCCCCCTACCCGGAAATGCAAAATCACGTATATATAAATGTGATTTTTCACACCCGTGCTGCCCTGTAGCAGTATATCTGCTATAGGGTGGTTGGAAAGCGGTTACTGTAGCCTATAAACTGTAAAACTCAGTTGAACAACAAACTGAAATATTTTAGGTGGAGGGAAGTAAAAATAAAAAACTAAAATAATATGGTTGCATAAGTGTGCACACCCTTAAAACATACTTTGTTGAAGCCCCTTTTGATTTTATTCCAGCACTCAGTATTTTTGGGTATGAGTCTATCAGCATGGCACATCTTGACTTTGCAATATTTGCCCACTCTTCCTTGCAAAAACATTTCAAATCTGTCAGATTACAAGGGCATCTCCTGTGCACAGCCCTCTTCAGATCACCCCACAGATTTTCGATCAGTTTCAGGTCTGGGCTCTGGCTGGACCATTCCAAAACCTTAAACTTCTTCTGGTGAAGCCATTCCTTTTTTGATTTGGATGTATGCTTTGGGTCATTGTCATGCTGGAAGATGAAGTTCCTCTTCATGTTCTAGCAGAAGCCTGACGGTTTTGTGCCAACATTGACTAGTATTTGGAACTGATCATAATCTCCTCTACCTTGACTAAGGCCCCAGTTCCAGCTGAAGAAAAACAGCCCCAAAGCATGATGCTGCCACCACACTTCACTGTGGGTATGGTGTTCTTTTGGTGATGTGCAGTGTTGTTTTTGTGCCAAAGATATCTTTTGGAATTATAGCCATAAAGTTCAACCTTGGTTTCATCAGACCATAACACATTTTCCCACATGCTTTTGGAAGACTTCAGATGTGTTTTTGCAAAATTTTCCAGGTTTGGATGTTTTTCTTTGTAAGAAAAGGCTTCCATCTTACCACTCTACCCCATAGCCCAGACATATGAAGAATACGGAAGATTGTTGTCACATGTACCACACAGCCAGTACTTGCAGCTCCTTTAATGTTGCTGTAGGCCTCTTGGCAGCCTCTCAGACCAGTTTTCTTCTTGTCTTTTCATCAACTTTAGAGGGACGTCCAGTTCTTGGTAATGGCACTGCTCCGCCATATTTTTTCTACTTGATGATAACTGTCTTCACTGTGTTCCATGGTATATCTAATGCCTTAGCAGTTCTTTTGTACCCTTCTCTGGAATGATACCTTTTAACAATGAGATCCCTCTGATACTTTGAAAGCTCTCTGCTGACCATGGCTTTTGCTGTAGAATGTGACCAAGAAAATGTCAGGAAAGACCTACTAGAACAGCTGAACTTTATTTGGGGTTAATCAGAGAAACATTAATGATAGCAGTTTTTTTGTAGTGGCTCCTATTTAACATGATTTTGAATGTGATTGCTTAATTCTGAACACAGCTAAATCCCCAGTTATAAGAGGGCGTGCACATTTATGCAACCACATTATTTTAGTTTTTCATGTTTACTCCCCCCCCCCTAAAAGATTTCAGTTTGTTTTTCAATTGAGTTATACAGTTTATAAGTCACATTTAAGGTTCTGAAATGATTTATCTTTGTCTCATTTTTTTACATCACAGAAACCTGACATTTTAACAGGAGTGTGTAGACTTTTTATATCCACTGTGTGTGTGTGTGTGTATTTATATATATTTTATATATATACTTCAAGTGTAATACTAAAAATCCAAAATAAATATTTAAATATATTTGACTCAAAATGGCTACCAGCTAAGCGCAGACCCCCTTTGTTAGTGGCAACCCTATCTCATTCTCTAGCCCTGTGTGATAAACTATATAAAACAAACGTTCTCATTTTTCATTATGTTTTATTAGGTCCAATGTTTGGGAATCCAATTTTTCCCCCAGGTTTGACCTTGACATCTTTCAAAGGGTGGCAGCACAAAAGGCTTTACCGTATAGGCCAATAATTCACCTCTCAGGGCCTGTTGTCACTTGCATACTGTCAAGAAAAATATTTTATGCCACCCTCTGAAACAGTCAACTAATGTAAAATACATCACTTTCTCATCTCAGACAAAAATAGGCAATCATCTCAATACCATATGAGAATTGGTGCA